TCGTGGCGATTACATCACGGGCGCTCGGTATCGGCTACAATTGATTCATTTGAGTCGTGCATTGCGAGAAAAACGGCCGAAATACGAGCAAAGACATGATAAAGTTATTTTTCTTCATGACAACGCTCAGCCTCATGTCGCAAAAGTCGTAAAAAAATATTTGGAAACGCTCAAGTAAGATGTTTTACCGCACCCATCGTATTCTCCGGGCATTGCTCCTTCTGATTACTGGTTGTTCCGAAGGATTTGGCAAGTCACCGGTTCACTTCTTTTGCAGAAATCGAAAATTTGCTCCAAAATTTGATCGCCTCCAAAGACGAGTCATTTTTTCAAGATGGAATTCGAAAATTGCCTGAGAGATGGGAAAAACTAGTAGCCAGCAATGGACAATACTTTAATTAATCTGTTCATTCATTTGTTTTGAAATTTTAAACACAAAAAAATGGATTGAACAAATTTGCGCTCTCAATAGCACAAATTTTTTCACAAGCCTGTGTAGCGTTCTTGCCTTTATCGTAGTAATATTGCAAAATGTAGCGAATTTTTTCCTTATTTATTTCCATTTTCAAAATAAAATAACTTTTGATCTACTTCACCGATTTCAATCTTTTTCGGCTCAAAATAAAAATTGAAATGTGTTTTTAAACGCACGTCTGGTGTTGTCTATGCGATTAGTAATTACCAACTGCTGAGCATTTAATATCATCTAGTGGGAAAAACGCTACGAACTTTTTCTCACACTGATAATTAATCTAATCGCTATATCTTTAATAGGACTCGGATAACATTCCATTTTTGTCCAAAATTAAAACAAAAAAAATCTAATCGAAAATGAGAAATATTAAAAATTCAAGTATCTAAAATCAAGACATTCTGTGATTTGCGTTAGTTTTTATGAACCTTTTCATATTTAGTCCATATAACACTTGTAGCTCAATATTTCTACGATCTTTCTCTCGAATGTATATTATCATTTATTAAAATACATAATTATTGATTACACTTTAGCATTATAATAAACATTATATTATGATAAGAATCCAGAGAGTGTATTTACATTATTGCTAATTGTGAAATATCAATAAATAATTCGCAATATGCTACTGACGAACATGTTAACATTATGACAGAACTTGCTCATTAAAATTTAATGTTGGTATATTAATAAAGAATCCGTTATAGATAAGTTTGATCGTTTTTATACAATAAAGAGTGAGAAGTGCTAAATTATTACTAATTTAACATAACGATTTATAATACTAATTATAACATAATGATTATATGGAAATAGTAATTGATTGAATAACGATTCTCGCAACTGGAGCGAGATTTGTGTTGTTTTACATTTATAAATACAGATATACATAAATGTTTTGAATAATATTGAGTCATCTAAAAAGTATCCGCGGTTTTTAGATGACCCAATATATCAGTGAACAAAATATTTAAAACTATACTTATTGAACATATTATCAGTAACGAAGAAAAATTAGTAAACACGAATATTCTTAGGCCTGATCGAGTGCGCAATCTCGAAATTATCGAATCGAATTGGTAGGACGTAAGGTCTTAAGTTTTCTATGTGCCATGGTCTGTTCGGGTTAAGTATTACTACTAAGCCTTAACGTCTTTAAGTTTTTATGTGCCTTGGCCTTTAGGCAGAAGTCTGTGCTCCCCGTTTAAGAGACGACAATAAATCATACGTCATACGCCAAAGCTTGTGCATTACTTACGTCTACAACTTAAATCTCTAAGTAACCATACTCATACAGCACAAAAGATTGAGGGTAATATTGCTGCAATGTTACAGATTGCAATGTACCATTGCAGAAGTATTATAAAAATATAAATTAACGATATGCCTGCAAAATGTCAGTAATATGCTTGTAATATTCCACAAATATTACAAAACTGTAATTCTTTAATTGTTACAATAATAATAGTATAAAAAGTTTTTACAATATTTATGCAGTACAGTCTTTTAGTTTAATAGATGTTTTTATGATATAATAATTAATATAATTCATTTTATATTTAAATAAGAAATTTATTGATCTATTATTTGACGGTCATTTCATTAGCTAAATTTTATATTTATTTTAAATATGAAATCAAAAGATTATATAATATCGAGTTTGGATATAATCAATGCATCATTATCGGATAAGATGATAAGTAATTAAACTGCTGAAAACGATTTATCGAAATATTAATTATGTGATCGATGATGTATTTATGCCTGATGTATGAACGTAAAAATAAACCAGCGTCCGAACTTTATTGATAAATTTCATTGAATATGAATTAGTGCCCATACTTTATTGATTAACTTAATCCATGATTAACTTACTAAACGACTGTATTATTATATTAATGTGGATAATATCTGTAGTTTGTTCGGGGCATACACATACATGCTTTATTCTTACGAATAAATTTATCCTTCAGAATTAATACTATATTTATTGGAATATTTTATGGTTTTATCATAAAAAAATTGTTTTTGGAAAGCACATATCACTAGAAATGCGATTTGTAGAAAAATTAAAGTTAGTGAGAGATATGTGTATGGAAACAGTTTTTCATTTGAGAGTCTTCGTAAAAAATTTATCCAAATACATTACATTGTAATATTACTGGAATGTTTTGTTGCAATATAATAAAAAGCGGATATCTTAACATTGTTGGAATTTTGCAACAATGATTCAGCAACGTTTCCAGCAACCACCATGCAATATTGCAATGTTTCAATGAAATCATTTTGCAATGTTTCTGCAAATCTTTTTGTGCTACATGGGAAGTGTTATGACAATTCTTGTGTTCAGACTCTTAGAATAGAAATGTTTATTCTTTAACATCATGCTCTGACAGGAAGACATAAATTATCATTAAAACTACATGAAGAATGGAGCCTTCTTCATGTAAAATTGGTATGATCTACCATGCAAACTGCGAGAATAGTGTTGTGAAACGAAAGCGACATCGATCGAACTAATTCAGATGATCACTTTTGACCACGCTTTTTGATGGCCTCATCCATGTAAGTTCGGCCTCCTATTTTCTATACTCCATGGTTTTTACCTATACTGTGGCTAACGGGCTGCGCACAATGAAAGGAATAGAGAACAGGAAGCAGATAATAAGAATTTCAACCTATCAGAAATCATGTAATGTGGAATACACAGTTTCTGATAAGTTGAAATTCTTAGGGTGAAATCACACGACTGCGAAATAGAGAATGCATCATAGAAGTAATCAGTCAGCGTTATTCTGCGTTATTCCGAATAGCGCTAATTGGTTGTTTCAATGATGCATTCTCTATTCCGCAGTCCTTTTCTGCACCATGTGATTTCACCTTTATTCTCTGTTTCCTATTCCTTTATTGTGCGCAGTCCCTGAGTCTCCCCCCTAACCCGTTTCCATTAGTTAAGCAAATGGCGTCGTACAGGTGGATATCGTTGCGTCAAATTTCCCAAATGATGAATGAATTTTGAATACCGTCGCGCATTTCTCGAAAATTGAGGGTATTGCCAGTTCCGGTAAGCCTCTTCTCGACCGCGGTACATTTTCTTCTTACGGGATTGATCCCGCGACGTGAGAAAACGCGTGTTTCCTCGGAGGTTTTCTCAGTATGTAAACAAACATTGTGCCACACATTGAGTACTGTTGAGTTGTATACCGTGATGTCCCGAAAAATCCCGCGGTTATCACCAAATATCCATCTGCTTTTTCTGTAATATATGCGTGAATACGCGTGGGATATTGATGGATTATACTGTGCAAATTGCAATGTGTTCTCAGCATCTCTGATGCTTGTCTAAAATCTACTTTCATCGTCTCTTCAGTGTTTTCTTTGAAATTTCGCAAGCCTTTTTTGTATCTCTTATACAGTACTATTTAATTGACGAAGATATGTGTAAGCTAAATATAAAAATGCATTTTATTTGAATAAAATATCATTTTAGCATTGTAAATTATAATATTATATATATGTAATTTGATTAAAAGTGTGTATAACACACTGATAATTCTACATAATCTATATATGTAATTCTAATGAAATTATGAATTTAATCTTCATTACACTCTGTGTGTGTGTGTGTATGTGTGTGTGTGTTTGTGTGTGTGTATAGATTGATGTAAACCAGCTACGAAGCATTGTTTATGAAAAAAACTACATCCTCTACCATTTTGCAATTTTCGCAATAATTAATGAGATATTAATTTCCAAAATTGCTAAATAAACGGGTAAAATCATTCAATATAAGATAATTTTAAGGTATCTTTCAGTGTTCTTTGTAAAATATTTTGAAGATGTTTCTTAAAGATATCTTGAAGTTGTCTTATACGTCGATTATAGACATGAATTTTAGACATGGATTTTTGCATTGAATAACTAAAAAAAATTGCAAAAATTGTAGAATGATTCAGAACTTTTTTCAAGTTTTTGATTAGGAATAGCACATATATTAATCTAAAATACATTTTGTATATGTATATGTGCGTGCATATGCGTGTGCACGTGTATGTATGATGAAAATTAATGATTAAATCAGTTTTTTATCATGAGAAATGAATATTTCACTCTCTTTTACGCGTGGCCTTTTATGTTCTTTCTTGCACTAATTCATCACTCATTCTTTTCCATGATAAAAAACTGATCCAACTATTAATATTTTTATAAATTTTTAATTTTGTAAGAGATATAATTATGTAAGAGATACAATTGAATTGTTTGTATGATAATCGCGCCAATTACCGCGTATTAAGGCATTTAATTGCTCGTTTTTTATTTGTTTAATATCTCAAGAACCCAACTTTAATTATTCACTTTTTCATTAATATTTGTCTCCCCCCCTCTCTCTCTCTCCCTCCCCCCTCCCCCCTCTCTCTGCGCGCGCGCGCACACACACGCACACACACACACACACACACACACATATGTATAATATATGAGATTATCAAAGTTATAATAACTAATAATTTAATATAAAAAAAATGTTATACACACTTTTAATTAAATTATATATAGATGACATTTCAAATATTTGTCGCATGACATTACATTTAGATTGACGTTTTCAATATTTTGCAACAAACTGCATATCAAACCATGAACGAAGTAAGTGGAGGAAAACAAGATGTGCCCAATGCCTCAAATTGGGAAGCCTTATCAGGACAGTCGGTGTCTTCGTTGCCAGTCATGCATCATCATCATCAAACGCTACAGCAGGATACAAATTCGACAGTCGCACAAGTTATAGTTCCTACACCTGTTAAGCTTCAAACATCCATATTAACACCTACGCAAACTGTAACCGATCACTGTCCGCAACTTAGTCATATACAACAACCACCTCTTATAACTCAGGTATGTCAAGAGAAAAAAACTGTCTTACAATTTGATAATGATTTTAATTTACTAGGGCTGATTTGTCTATTTCTCTTTTTCTTTTTTATAGGGTACACCACCAGGAAGCTTTTCGGAGTATGAATTATCTCTGGAACTTCAACAACAGGGTTGGAAGAAGTTTTGGAGTAAACGGGAAAATCGGCCATATTTTTGGAATAAATTGACGGGAGAATCTCTATGGGTAGTTCCTTCTTTGAAACCTCAGGTACTATAGAATATCAAAAAAATAGTTATATTTTATAATAAGGTAAAATGTAACATATATATGTATCCTACTAAAGTTTGATCCAATCACGGATCCACTTGGCATTTGTGGTGTACCACCTCCACCTGGAAATGGAACGATTCCAGCTACACCAGGTTCTACATTAAAACGAAGAGCATCGGAAGATGGAGCTGTTCCACCAGCAAAGAAATTTGTATTGGCGTATGTGTTTGATTTTATTAAGATGTTGAGTTATATTTATGGACGAAGTAAATGAATAATTTGTTTATCATTATGTTTTAGAGGTCCGTGGGATTTGGAAATACCTACGAATGTTATAATATATGAGCGAGCACCATCAAATTTGATGCACGTTCATCCTGAAGCAGAAGCTCTGCGCTGTGCTTTGCTAGCTAAGTTACGACAGTGTTACCAAGAGTTATGTCATACTCGTGAATCTATAGATGCACCGAAAGATTCCTTCAACAGGTGGCTGATGGAACGAAAAGTCATTGATTGCGGCTCAGATCCGTTACTACCGAGTCAATGTTTCCCTGAGATTTCAATGTCTATGTATCGCGAGATTATGAACGATATTCCTATTAAATTGGTAAGGCCAAAATTTACGGGAGATGCGAGGAAACAATTGTCACGTTATGCTGAAGCGGCGAAAAAGATGGTAGAATCAAGGGCAGCATCACCTGAAAGTCGAAAAGTAGTCAAGTGGAATGCGGAGGACACTTTCCAATGGTTGAGAAGAACAGTGGGCGCCACGTTTGACGATTTCCAGGATAGGCTCGCTCATCTGAAGCGACAATGTCAACCGCACCTCACGGCAACCGTTAAAGCCAGCGTTGAAGGCATATGTCTGAAAATTTATCATCTGTCGACGGAATATGCGAAAAAGGTGAAAGATAAAAATAACCAAATCCTTAAAGATAATGGTCTGGGGGATGTTATACCGTTAGGAGGTCCTGTTAGCACGCAAAGAAAAGTTTGGTGTTATCCAGTGCAATTTTCCCTTCCCACACCGAGACTTCCACAAGTGGATTATCTTCCTGAGCGCGAGCAAATAATGCTACGCTTTCACGGTGACACCATGTATATTAATAACACGCACTTTGCTAAACTGGAACATTTGTATAGGTATAACGGTTTTGATGATAAAAAGTTTGAAATGTTTCTGTCACGCGTTTGGTGTATGTTGAAACGCTATCAGACATACTTTGGAATCAACGAGGGCCAAGCAACCCAGATGGCTCTTCCGGTGACGGTTTTCGAATGCCTTCAGAGATCGTTCGGCGTTACGTTTGAATGTTTTGCCTCACCTCTAAACTGTTATTTTCGACAGTATTGTTCAGCGTTTGCCGATACGGACTCATATTTCGGATCGAGGGGACCATTCTTGGATTTCAGGCCGGTCAGCGGATCGTTTCAAGCAAATCCACCATACTGCGAGGAACTTATGGAAGCTATGGTCAACCACTTCGAACGTCTTTTAGCTGATTCGGCAGAGCCTTTGTCGTTCGTGGTATTTTTACCGGAGTGGCGTGATCCGGCTCCTAATGCGCTTATAAAACTCGAGGGTAGTCACTTTAAACGTAAACAAGTAGTAGTACCCGCTATGGAACACGAATATCGACATGGATTCCAACATATTCTTCCAAAGTACGTTTATTCAAATTAAAGGGTTCCACGTTAATAATATGAAAAATTGATTTTGAAATCAATTAATTTTTTATATAATGTAGCTCATATAATGTGGTGAACAAAAGATGTTACAGATATAAGAGTCAAATGGATAATTTGAGCTGATACATTAAAGATGTAAAACTTGTGCTCTGTGAGTACCTTTGATAAACCATAGTTCAAAAACTATCTTGATTCTTATATCTGTAATATCTTTTCTTCATTACATTATAAGCTATATTATATGTAAAAACCAATTCATTTCAGTAGGATCCAATTTTCCATATAATTAATGAGGTCCTTTATATTGATTAGATATAGTATGTGTATAATGTATATGAAAAAATGTTGAATAATTGTTTTTTCTTCATTCAGAGGTGATGTAAACATTCGAGCGGTGCACGGCACGCTAGTTGTATGGTTACAAAATCCAGCTGGTGCTGCACGATGGGGACCTACTGAAGAGCGAGTCGAAGCGTTATTGGAAGCATGGCGACCCGGTCGAGAACGAGAAAGAGATAGGCAAGAGCTCCTTTCTCCGCCACGACAAACGCATCAACCGATACCGTCAACGCCTGTACCGTCAGTACCTGTACCGACAACACCAACGCCGACGGTGCCATCTGTACAGCCGCTACCAAGTCATCCTATCTAATTAAGTGATACAATTTAGTTAGTGATATAATCTTCGTGAAATAGAGAAAACGTATAAGTAGAAAACAGGAAAATTATTTCCTATATTTGGAGATAAATATGATTTATCTCTTGTAAAATATAACTTCTTTGTTAAGGAAATTTATTTTATACTTTATCAAATATAAAATTCGAAAAGAATAAAATGTAAAAAATGAAACAAATGTTAGGTAATTATATATAGAAAAATGAAACATAACATAAAAATAATATAAACATTACTTTATAATCAATATTTTCACTAGGGATGCACTGAATCGTAAAATTACCGAATATCAAATATCCGAAAAGAATATGACACCGGATATTTGAAATCTGGTCCGATATCTGGTAGGACAATTATCCGGCCAGGTACCGGATATTTTCCGAATATCCGGTACAAATTTCCCAAAATTCTAAAAAAAGGGAAAGCATGGGAAAAATAGCGATAATAATTGACCGGCTGTAGAACAGGGTTTTTTACAATATAATTTCAACATTGCTTAGTAATCTCAAATATTAATATTAATAAAGTTTTCATAATGGACAATAATATTCAGCATTTTCCGGTGACAATCTATTTTGATTATCGACATAAGTATACAAAATCATAAATTGTGCTTTTCAGCTGAAAAGAATAGAATTCTGCATTCAATATAAAATTTCAGCCGGATACGCGCGCGCGCGCGCGCGCGCGCGTGTGTGTGTGTGTGTGTGTTACTGGATATAAATGATACGTATAGTAAAAAAGTACCGGATAATACCGGTTATTTTCCAGATATCCAATAAGTCCCTATCCTGAATTTTTATGCTAAAATCCGTTGACGACATGAATATCAGTTACATTTTGAAATAACCTCATGGAAATTCATGATTGACGTGCGTGCGTGCGTGCGTGCGTGCGTGCGTGCGTGCGTTATTATTTGATTCTACAGTTGCGAAGTAAATACCTATTATTTACTTCTATTCAGCCATAATACACAATAAACTGTAAGGATTTATAAAGGAGAAATGTACACATCTAACGTATACAAAGAGTTTACTTATCAAGAAAAAAAGCGCACATTGCGGAAAGTCTAAACTTTGCAATAGTGGTTAATTGTTGATGAATGCGTTGGACTTTATGACATGTGATGCTTTAAATATTAGACTATGCTATGCAAGATAAAAATTGAAATACTATTGTACATTGAAAAAAATTAAATTTATAGGAATATAACAAATGTACAGGTGTATGTTATATGTATGGTCGTGTGCGGATATAGATGGTAGGATGTATATATTGCCTATAGCTCTGCTTATTTGTGGCCAGAAAAAAAATTTTATGAAGAGAAACTGCGATAAAATTGTTTATCATTTGTCAATCATGACAACCTTTTTCTTCAATAATGTAATGTAGGAAAGAATCGCTAGCTATTCATTTTAAATAACTTTCTGCTGGTGCAATATCTTTTTATCAGTTTATAAGTAGCTGTGTGAAAAAAAGGAATGAATACAACACACACATAACTTTGAGAAAGATTATACAGAATTTCCTTGCATATGAGAGAACACATTTTTATTATAAATATATACAGACGTATCATACAAAGAGAAGAAATACATAATGATTTTTTAAATTTTTTCAGAGATTCTATAAATTCTATGAAATTAATTGAAATAATTGGAGTACTGTTACAGTGATGTAGATGAATTTCTATAATTTTTTTTTACGTGCATATTTGTATTAGGGCATATATCGAAATAATGGATGGATTCGAAATGAAATAAAAATGCATATTCAAAAGTAATATATTATTAGGAATTATATATTTATGAACATCTTTCAATAATGTATATTTATGTATATTTATATACATTATTGAATTATTTTATTAAAAATTCATGGTTAGGGCAATTTGTCAACATGTCGGGCGCTTCTCACTGAAAAAGTGATATTTATATCTTAGAAATTTTGTATATTGTTATTAAAATACCATATATACACACGCTAATGTATATACATACACATGCATACAGGAGCACACGTGCGCACGCGCTATCTTTAAAATTAGATTATTTATGTTTACATAATTGAAAAGTAAATAAGACAATATGTTAAAGATAGATATAAGTTGTGTTTTGTGAAATATTTTATAAGCAGCAGAGACAATGTATCCAACGATTGGGTTGCACTTTAGCTTAATAGAGAGATTACAGATTTCTAAATTTTTATCGTAAATCTTTATATTTAGAGAGTAGTATACGATTCATTGACTTAAAGAGAAAAAAGTTACATTTTCTATGTTTAATTATTTGTTAAGAGTAAAAATAAATTTCACTTATATGTCTTAATATAGCCATATTCGTTATAGAATCGATAGGAGATAATTATTGCCTTTTACTGTACTGTATATTTCATGCAATTGCAATCTCTCTTTCTAAATTGATAATTCCTTTTTTAATTATTTTATAAATTTTACTTGTGTCTGCTATGATGAAATGGCATCTAATATAATGCTTACTGTACAAAAGCAATTTTAAAATAAGTAATTCTGCAAAATGTTATCTTTTAAGAGAAAATTTAAATGAAGTTAAGAGGAGGGGGAGGGAGGAGATTTATAAAACTTGACATATATACATAAAAATGACATGATGTCAACAGTGAAAGTACATGCTATATTTACAACAAAATTTACAATTGGTTTTTTAACAGTTTGTCTTGTTTCGTTAACAGTTTATTGGATTTTATATTCATCGAAAAACTGCATTTTCAATATTACAAGAATTGAGAAACGAAGCAATATTTTTCAGTAAAATGCGGGCTTCATCATTTTTACACATTAAATTGTACACGGACAGATCTTGCGCGTCTATGATAATATTTTCCAATATGACTTTAAGTGTTCGCAAATCAAACAGACAATGATTATGTCCAAAGTGATACTTATTAAAACTTATGACTTGACTCTTTTTTATCATAGCATGTAAACGATTCTTAGCAATAAACGATATAAATTCCAGAAACTGTTTATAATCCATGCCATAAGAGGTTTTTAGCATCAATTGGCAATGTTCATTCCAGTTCTTCATATCCTTGCAGTCGTCAACTTCTTTCATAACAGATCTTAATTCCTTTTTTAATGCATACCATACATTGGTGATATTACAGCCATTAATCCAATTGTGATTAATAGAAATTGTATCTTCCTTCACAAAAGACGACACGTAATTAATTATTAACATCAACAATTTAAATACTCATTTTAAGAAATTCTATTACTATTTACCAAATTCCAAACTTGATGATGCCATCCTGATGGCACGAACATAATCTCTCCTGCTTCTTGAATTACATCGAAACATTTTAATTTTTTACTATCGTACATTTTATACTTCGTATGATCGTTGAGTTCCTCTGAAACTGCATCATATACCAATTGCCCATAAAGATCACGAAGGTGATCTTCTTCGTGTGGAGGAAAGAGCAACCATCTTTTTTTTCCGACAATATTTGCAGACCAACTATATGATGTAAAAACATCCGCGTGCAATGGAGTCCTGAACATTATCAGCAGCAGTTAAATCAGTCTGAATGACAGACAATAATCGATACATAATTAAATAAGAATATTAAGTCACAGAACAATCTTGGCTGAGGTAACACTTCTCGCAAGTTATTTATAGATTTTAAAATGCTAATAGCATCAAATTGATCTAATTTAATTTAGGGAGATTATTTCAGTTTAATTGTGTTGCAAATCCAAGAGTAATCAACTCGTAATTATATATTTAAGATAAATTTATTTAAAAATACATATAGACCCAGATAACAAGCAAAATGTCTGCAGTCTTCTAGCAGATTCAGCAGGTTCGAGCAGAAAATGACGGCAGTCTGCCATCAACTGCGTCCGCATTAGGCTTGTGTTCTGTTAACATCGCCTGTCGAAATAATGTGAAGGCAAATTGTTGACAGAAACTGAGCAGATCCTACCGATTCTGTTATGTTTTTTCTAGCAGTATGTCAAAGTATTAGGTATATCTAATTCTATAACAATTCTGTTATTTTGTTGGCATAATGTCCCAGCAAACGAGAATGGATTGAAATTAATTGAAATGGATTTAGATTTTCAAAAATATTGATTCACGAATGTTAAAATGAATGCTTTTCAATTCTGAATGCATTTTTATGAATTGCATGGGGCCTCTCTATGCCTTTCAATCTAAAAATAATATTAGCTTTTTCTGCACAACACACATTGTGAATACTGTTTAATTCAAAATTTTGAATAGGAAATACAGTTTTTCAATCCAGTTGCATCCAATTAAATCCAAAAAAAAGTATTTGAAATACATATTTGGATAGAAAAAAATTTCAATCCATTTTAATCCATTCTCGTTTGCTGGTGTAGTAGACATTTAAAAAATCTGCTTTCTACAGATTTGATTATCTAGGAATGTACAAGGGCAAATCAATAAGTACCCGTGTTTCAAGACAGGCGACGTTGCTGATGCAAGTTGGCATTACCATCGTGTACTACCATCTTTCAAATGACGCCATACAAAATTTCAGAGTGATTCATGCAATAGTCTTGATTTGATAGCAATTCGTAGTGAGCGTTTGATGTTTTCCGATGGAAAAAGAGCAATATCGATCCGTAATTCGTTTTTTATTTTTGGATGGAAAAACGTGCGAAGAAATAAAAACGAAGTTGGATGCCGTCTATGGGAACTCTTCATCATCTATGACAACCGTCAGATATTGGTTCAACAAATTCAAACGTGGTCATTCGTCTGTTTTTGATGAGGAGCGTTCAGGCCGCCCGGCAGACATGGTTACTGAAATCGTTGAAACAGTCCACGACATGATTCTCGCTGATCGCCGAACGAAAGTGCGTGAAGTAGCAGAGGCCGTAGTCATACGGAATGGCATTAAATATTTTGATAATTTGGGAATGAAAAAGCTGTCGGCCGATGGGTGCCGCGATTGCTCACAATGCACCGGCTCACTCCTTCGTCGCTACGAATTGCTGCCGCATCCACCGTATTCTCCGGATTTAGCTCCCTGTGACTTCTTCTTGTTTCCAAACTTGAAAAATGACTCGGTGGAAA